CTCTTCTCTTCATCCTAGGGCTTTTAATATAATTATATATGTATACTGTATATAGGCGAACCTTATGGTTGTACGGCAGTGAAGCATCAATGACAACACTGATGTTACTGTCTTTGATGATGATGATGGTGATGATGGGCCCGAAGACGTCTCTACAGAAAACTCCTAGCAACCTAGTTGTGCACTTGTGTTAAGGCGTTCACTAGATACGTCATTGTTTTGTCAATGTTGACTCATCATCGCATCGTATGAAACTCCGAACATGTGATTCGCTGTTCAGCGTTCGGTCATTTGCCTGCATTTGTTTGAGAGTAAATTTACATTTTTATCTTTTTGGTTCTCTTGGTGGTGTTTCTTTTCTATTTGGAGCAGTTATTGGTGGTGCTGGTATCCAGATCATTTCATCTTCTGCCACGGTGTCAGTGAAACTCCGTGATGACATGAACAGGTCAGTGCGAGATCATTTCATTTCGGACAGTCTCTTCCGCACAGAAGATGTAAAACCGTACAAGACACGTATAATTCCAACACAATGTAACCCATAAACAAAACTAAAGTGGTCTCATAGTGACTGTTTCTGAGAGCAGAGGACAGGGTGCGAGATCATTTCGGACAGTCTCTTCCGCACAGAAGATGTAAAACCGTACAAGACACGTATAATTCCAACACAATGTAACCCATAAACTAAACAAAAGTGGTCTCATAGTGACTGTTTCTGAGAGCAGAGGACAGGCTTAAAGCGACCAGTCAATGTGACCTCAAAAAATTCCTACTTCCGTGGTCGTCTGCTTCGTGATAACACTCGGGGCAATTAGCTGGATTCAGTCCTGTGACTTGTTTCGCTTAGATTCGTAGCGACCCTAGATCAGGAACCTCGGGGCAGTGGAGTAAAACGTGCTTGTTAAAGGGCTTAGTTTCAATTTCAAGGATGTTGGCAATCTAGAATATTTAGCCATTATCGAAGCGGCTTTCAAATCCAGTGGCCTCAATGAAGAAACTGTGAGTTGTCTTCTAGAGAGGTTCCTGATCCCTGATTCGTTGTTGGTGTGCCCAGTTGGCTTGACTAGTCTGTAGAACTGGCGCTGAAGTGTGGCTCGTTTCATTTCAACAGTACGTTGTACTCTACGATGTATGAGTACGATATGTGGACGACACATTCGCTTTTGTGAAGAAAAAAATTAACTGTCACGCGCGAATGAATTACTGAACAGCATGTTCCCCGACATCCACTTCCCATTGAAAACGGAGGAGAACAACATGTTGGCGTTCTAGATATGCTCGTCACAAGGACAACAAAAGGTCAACTGCAAACTAAAGTACACCAGAAAGAAACGCATACAGACCAGATTCTGAACTACTACAGCAACCATCCGAACTGCCACAAACGGAGCTGGGTTCGAACCCTATTCAAACGGATGGAGACGCATTGCAACAAAACAGAGGCGAAAAAAAATAAGAGCGAAGACCTTACGAGACATTCTGAAGTAACGGCTTCCGGAGGGATTTCATATGGAGGTACTTACGAGACCTTCACCAAGCTAATTTGTCAACACAACCAGAATAGAGGAAGGTTACGCTGCCGTACATCAGAAACTTCGCGGAGATGACTGCACGACAATATGCAATAACAGTCGCCTTGAAGCCTGCAAACACGTTCAGGAAAACTCTGTCGAAACCAAAGGGGAGGTTGGATAAAGTGAAGAAGACGACATTGGCCTACAACGTTAAGTGTCACGACTGCAACAAACACTATGTTGGCCACACTGGAAGAATGCCTGCTACCAGAATACACGAGTAAAAGCTTGCCAGCAGAAGACATGACTCAATGTCACTTGTCTCAATCCACGAAGACAGAGAAGGACACAAGTTAAATTGGGACAATGTTCAAGTACTTACTCATGCAAGAACAAAACGGTAGGGAGAGTTTGCCGAGGCGTGGTACTCCACACAAAAGTCGATCGTCTGATGTAACTCCATGGGGACGCCGAGAAGAGATTGCATCCTAGAGAGCTTAAAGCAAGAGCTCCCCGTCAGATTTCCCCATCTACGGAAAAAACAACCCCACATTACTTGAAAGTCCGTAGTTTTCTTCAAGGAGAAATCATGAATCTCGTAATCGATAAGAACGTCAAAGCACTTTCAAAGGACTGCTTGGTAATTTCAAGCGACGTCAGTTTCGGTTGCCATAGGAGCTTGTGTTGGAGGCTACGGGAGTGGAAATGCGACTTCGACATCGTTGAAATTTGATTCTTGGTCATCACCTTTTCATGACTTTTTAGCTTAAAGCGACCAGTCAATGTGACCTCAAAAAATTCCTACTTCCGTGGTCGTCTGCTTCGTGATAACACTCGGGGCAATTAGCTGGATTCAGTCCTGTGACTTGTTTCGCTTAGATTCGTAGCGACCCTAGATCAGGAACCTCGGGGCAGTGGAGTAAAACGTGCTTGTTAAAGGGCTTAGTTTCAATTTCAAGGATGTTGGCAATCTAGAATATTTAGCCATTATCGAAGCGGCTTTCAAATCCAGTGGCCTCAATGAAGAAACTGTGAGTTGTCTTCTAGAGAGGTTCCTGATCCCTGATTCGTTGTTGGTGTGCCCAGTTGGCTTGACTAGTCTGTAGAACTGGCGCTGAAGTGTGGCTCGTTTCATTTCAACAGTACGTTGTACTCTACGATGTATGAGTACGATATGTGGACGACACATTCGCTTTTGTGAAGAAAAAAATTAACTGTCACGCGCGAATGAATTACTGAACAGCATGTTTCCCGACATCCACTTCCCATTGAAAACGGAGGAGAACAACATGTTGGCGTTCTAGATGTGCTCGTCACAAGGACAACAAAAGGTCAACTGCAAACTAAAGTACACCAGAAAGAAACGCATACAGACCAGATTCTGAACTACTACAGCAACCATCCGAACTGCCACAAACGGAGCTGGGTTCGAACCCTATTCAAACGGATGGAGACGCATTGCAACAAAACAGAGGCGAAAAAAAATAAGAGCGAAGACCTTACGAGACATTCTGAAGTAACGGCTTCCGGAGGGATTTCATATGGAGGTACTTACGAGACCTTCACCAAGCTAATTTGTCAACACAACCAGAATAGAGGAAGGTTACGCTGCCGTACATCAGAAACTTCGCGGAGATGACTGCACGACAATATGCAATAACAGTCGCCTTGAAGCCTGCAAACACGTTCAGGAAAACTCTGTCGAAACCAAAGGGGAGGTTGGATAAAGTGAAGAAGACGACATTGGCCTACAACGTTAAGTGTCACGACTGCAACAAACACTATGTTGGCCACACTGGAAGAATGCCTGCTACCAGAATACACGAGTAAAAGCTTGCCAGCAGAAGACATGACTCAATGTCACTTGTCTCAATCCACGAAGACAGAGAAGGACACAAGTTAAATTGGGACAATGTTCAAGTACTTACTCATGCAAGAACAAAACGGTAGGGAGAGTTTGCCGAGGCGTGGTACTCCACACAAAAGTCGATCGTCTGATGTAACTCCATGGGGACGCCGAGAAGAGATTGCATCCTAGAGAGCTTAAAGCAAGAGCTCCCCGTCAGATTTCCCCATCTACGGAAAAAACAACCCCACATTACTTGAAAGTCCGTAGTTTTCTTCAAGGAGAAATCATGAATCTCGTAATCGATAAGAACGTCAAAGCACTTTCAAAGGACTGCTTGGTAATTTCAAGCGACGTCAGTTTCGGTTGCCATAGGAGCTTGTGTTGGAGGCTACGGGAGTGGAAATGCGACTTCGACATCGTTGAAATTTGATTCTTGGTCATCACCTTTTCATGACTTTTTAAGGGCCGTGCCATATGCTGTCGATTTCGGTCCAATAATTTTAGGTTGCGGAATCTTTCGTACAAAGGCGGATCCGAAATTGAGTGAGAATCGTATACAAATGATTTATAGGACGAAACTAGAACAAAGCAAGAAACTTAAAGATTTGGTGCCAAACTTTATTGAGTTGTGATTAGGCTTAAAGATATTCAGGAGCCAGTCTTGTTCGAAAGTTACCGAATATTGTGCTAAAAATCCGTCTAGTGTGCCTCGTATGATATATATTATATGTATAATATATAATATAATATATATAGTATAGTATACATATATATGATATAATATATATATACGTTGGTTCTCACCTCCAAAGAGTTCTGTCACCACATGCGTATTGCTAAAAATTCTTCGACAGCCCACGACCATTTTCGCCCTTGTTAGGGCTCATTAGGCAGGCGCAGGCCTCGTCAACCTTATGTTCTATTTGAAACCAAATTGCACGAAATTAGCGGAATACACTCATATGCAAACAAACTTGGTTTTTGTGAGAGACTCATCTGGAACCCAGCTAAATCTCTCGCTTGTGGTGTTTACAGGCTACTGAATTGCTGTACCAGGCCGCCTCATGTTTCAGTTGCTACGATATTCAAGATATCGCGATACATATACATACGTAATGCACTACTCATAAGGTTGCTGAAAATTCTTCGGCAGCCCACGACCGGTTTCTCAAGGTTGTCTCAGTCCTCTTGGTATTATCCTGTAAACATCACAAGCGAGATATTCAGCTGGTTTCCAAGTGCGTCTCTCGCAAAATCCAAATTCGTTTGCAAATGGGTGTATTTCGCTAGTACTGTCACCAACTCTCACTGAACAGAAACTACATTGTCTAAACGAGGATTCGTCGTCTGCGGTTTCTCCAGGAACTGACCGACCCAAGTTGACCATTCATTTCGCTTCACCCGTGTTCACTGAGTTCGAAGTAGTTTAGTGGCCAAGATTCGAACTTACTGACCAAAAGATCGAACCCAACCCCGACATCTCGACTATTGCTGTCTGTGCTTGAACAACCTTATGCTTCTTCAGGGTGGCGTGGCAGTTAGGCACCGAAAGGATCGACTATTGCTGTGCTTGAACAACCTTATGCTTCTTCAGGGTGGCGTGGCAGTTAGGCACCGAAAGGATGTTACAACTGAACGAGTACTTACTGACAGATCGAACCCAACCCCGACATCTCGACTATTGCTGTCTGTGCTTGAACAACCTTATGCTTCTTCAGGGTGGCGTGGCAGGCAGTCACCGAAAGGATGTTACAACTGAACGAGTACTATTTATTATTTGTTATTATTTATTATTATTACTACCCCTGTTCACCCTACAACAGAATGCACTGAACCGGAATGCTAGGCAATGCATGACAACTCTGTTCAATCCTCCGTATAACGTGAAATACCGGTGCTTTCGAGATCTGTTTCAAGCGTTTTCAGAAGACGACTTATGGAAAGTCGATCGTGTTTTGCCACAAATACCCAAGCGTTTCAACAACCTGCGTTACCACAATGATGACTGTTCCTTGTCGACACTGTTGTTACGCCCGTTGGACGTTTTATGTGGTTTGGAAAATTCAATCTTAGTGAGTACTTTTCTACTGGCTGTTCTGGATTATTAATAAATAGCGTTATGATCGACGTTCCTGATTGACCTTCGAAAGAGGATCCTCTTTGTTCTGGGAACGTTGTCATTTAGTGCGGTGTTTGCCATTGGTTGGTATACATACCACATTTTGGACTGTTGTTTTTCGAGATATACCTGCGCAATTTCCAATCCTGGAGACATATTGATGTTCATCCTAACCCGAATTTCAACCTAATTTTGCTCTTGCGTGTACTATTCGACATGTGTTTGCATGGGTTTTCCATGCTTGTTCTCGACTAATTTACTGGCGTGACGTGTGACTACCGTCTACTCAGTCGGGCAATCGAGTTCCACTTCACCAAAGGCCGTTGTAGAATTCGGAGAAGTCTCGATGCACAACTAGGCATGTTGCGTCATCAATAACCAGGTCATTTTGAGTGAAAGGCACACAGGTTCAATGGAATGTGTCATTTCATCCTTGTAAACTTGATTCGACTACGCCAGTTGACTTATATATCATTGTGCTCATGGGTAGTTAAAATCACGACACTGTTTTCTGCGAGGAATTTTCCAAAGTGGTGTAGGAGGTCTCCGATAGCGCGAACTTTTCCCATCGCATTCCATCATCGCGATAAAGAAAGCCTAAGACTTAAGAAAGGACACTTTCCGGTTCCCCAAATGGCTTATTTGGTCCCCAAGGTGAGGCCTGAATGTATATGCCTTTGCCATTGACAGAGTTGCTAGTTAACCCTCACTCCAAACGGTGGGCATCCTGAGTACTGCCAGTACATCGTTCAACGAAATCGGCAAACTCAGCAGCATTTGTGGGGGCTAGTGAGGCTGAAATCTACGATGGAGCAGTTCACGGGAATTCGACAGTTATCCAGGTCCCAATGATCTCCGTAGCTTTTGCTGCCATATTAGCATATGCTAGTTGGACCAAATGTATTCTGTGGTTGTTATTCAAGCTTAGGTAGGTGGCGCTAAAAACCCTCGTTCGATATAACATTAAGATGGGCCGTTGCACAGATTCACAATGTTCCAATTGTGTGAGTCAGTCGAGAATATGTATTGGTTTCTGGGAGACTGCCCCTTCAGCCACAACGGAATATCTCACCACACATTCCAACAGTCTGTTCCGCATGATTAGACACAACATAAGTGTCACATACAACACCGTCCGTGCTCTTGTACCATCCGGTTTTTGTTCGGTTTCTTTTAGTATCTTCCGAAAGTGTTTTTAAAGAGCGGGTGGATTTTGGGTTGGTTACATTTTTTAGTGCTCCAATAAATAGACGTTGAGTTCGAATATCAGAAGCGAGAGACATTAATAAGGTTTGAGTATCACGCTTAAATGGATTACAAAGTTAGGTGCACCTTATGAATAAAAATACAACTAAAATGTGCGTGCGTGTGGTTGTTCTTGTTCTGTTATTATATATGTTGCAATGGGTGGAACGTAAAAACAATAGTGGGAAATCACATAGCGTCCCTTAAAAAATCACGGAACCGAAGTTGACATGTTCATCAAGGTCTTATTCATGACACAATGTTGACGCGTGATTGTGAGACAGACAAAACAGGATGGAGATAGTGGGTAGAAGAACCCGAGACATTGATCCTTAAGGGTGGTGTAGTATGCACGTTATGGAAGCACCATGGGGCAGTTAATTCTCCGAAGGCAGGTGTTCACGACAGTTTCTGTGGATGTAAAACAAAAAGAAAGCTCATGAACCGAAGCCCAGTAAGCAAGGTTGTACATCACCGATACTTACATGTAAACCAACGAAACTGATGAACACCATATGCTACAGTAGCTAAGTGAACTCAAATTGGATGTCATAATTGGGAGTTGCACAGTTGCCCTTTCAAGAGGTACTGCGGTTATATATGCGGTGATTACGACTGATTCCGCTGAGGACGCCTCCATCCTGAGGAGATAGTCTTGGTGGTGACCTCACTCGAAGGGAGACACTGCCCAAGTGGCCCTTTTCTCATCCACAATTGGATAGCGGAGCAATATTGGTGTTCGCTATTGACCCAATTCTACCAACCGAGATAGCTCCGTGGTTGGAACACGCACATGCTGATTGGA